CATCCTTCGGTATCAAAGATATAAAAGCTCCTGTCCATGACTGTGGTACTTGTTCTCCCAACATAATCCTATTAAATAAGACTTTTAAGGGTTGAATCAATTCAGCTGACAAAGATTTATAATAGGTTGCTGTCAAACCATCCGTACCAGGGGCTTTGCCAGTTTTCAATTGTTTAATTGCATTTAAAATTTCCTCTGCAGTAATCTCATCATTCATCAATTTCTGTTGTTCCGATGTAAGTTTGAATATAGGTGGGAATTGCATATATTTATCAATGTCCTCAATTTTTGTAGACCCAGCAGCATATAAGTGTGAGTAGAATTCTGTAAACGCTTTCTTGATCAATTCATGTTGATGAACCTCACGGCCTTTAACCACAACTTTAGATATAAGTCTAGCTTTCTGTCTCTTGCGTAATTGGTAGGCCAACCATCTCCCTGGTTTATTTGCATTAGCAAATGTATTATGTTTAATATACTTCAAGTTGGTGGCCACCTGGTCAGCAATTAAAATATTAAATTGATCCTTAAGTAGTTTAATAGAAGCCTTCAAGTTAATATCTGTTGGCCGGTGAGATAATAGTTTTTCTTTAATCCCAATTTCTTTTTCCAAGTTTATTCTACTCTGTATTTGCTTACGTTTATGTGCATTGTTCATAGAAATTAGCAAACCCCTCAAGTAAGCTTTACTCGCATCCCACACAGTGTGTGTAGGGGAAACCCCCACCCCAAGAACTGTATATAGTTCTTCAATAATCACCCAACACTTTGGGCACTATTTTTGAAAATTATGCTGAATTTTGAACTTTCAGGATACACTTAAAATTTTGTACAGCTGGAAAGGAGAGTGCTTAATATTCTTCTGACTATGTTTTTTAAAAAATAAATATACAAATATATATCTCTTGTAGCATGGCATAAAATGTGTTGTCTTGAACAAGGAAAATTACTATTCAGTAGTACAAAGGACAGGGAAAGGAAAAGACAGCATAATTAGCTGTCATTTTCCACTAGTGCAACAAATGTAAAGGAAACGAACAGGACTGAATATTTTCCTCTCTCTATGTTTTTATTAGGGCAGCTGCTTCCCGTGTCCAACAGGCGGATGTCCCCCTATGGGTCATTATGCAGTTCAATTTAAAGACAAAATCACTTCTGGATTTACTAAGCTTTATTTGAATACTGGAGATGCCAGAAATTTTACTCGTAAGTGTGGGACTGAGAATTGGGGACGATTGATGTTTGTCTTCTTGCAACTGTGTGTATTTATATCTGCATATACTTGGGTATATATGCGCACAAACAGACACAAGTACCTTCATCACTGTGAGAGGAGAAAACCCAGATTACCTCCCAGATGATTAACCAAGATTGGTTTGGGTTGTAATGAGGATAAGAATGGCGAGAGAGAGACATAGAAACAGAGAGGCGAGAGAGAGAGGGACAGAGACACACACAGAGAGAGAATATGGGTGACCACTCCTGTTCTTGACAGAGAAGATGAATGTCTAACAATAGCTCTCCCCTAAAAGGAATGAAAGCTAATCACATTATATGGTTTTTTTCCGCTGGAAATTAGATCACTAAACATCAGTTAAGCTGTAAGATGCATCTGTAAGAAGCAGTTATAAGTAATAATAGTAATAATAATAGTAGTAGTAGTAGTAGTAGTAGTAGTAGTAGTAGTAATAATAATAATAATAATAATAATAATAATAATAATAATAATAATAATAAAAAAAAATTGGAAGGGATCTTCGAGATCATCTAGTCCAACCCCCTGCTCAGGCAGGAAACCCCATACCATTTCAGACAAATGTCTGTTAGAATATCTGCCTATGCCAATATTATAGTAGGTAGAATTGGGGGGAAGCTCTATGCCTCCTACAGATGCATGAAGCCAAATAATATGTGATTGGGAAGCTGCTTCCCACCTTAGCCTAAAGTTCACCTAAAAGATGAATGCAAACAGTGCTCAACAGCCTGTCTTTTAACTTCATAAGAGCCCACAAGGCTGAGCAAAAACATATCAGCCTCGTGGAACAACATAGGGGGGGGGGGTCTGATTTTAATCTTCAGTTATCTACATTTTTACTTTGAGCAGGTTTTGTAATGACACTATCTGAAACTGAAAAGGTGATGGGGAGGAGGATATATGATGCCTGATATTATATTGAAGCTTCTCTACCTCCACACTACATTTAAGCTATTTTGTGACATTATTTGTGGGGAATCCAGATTATGAGCAGATTTCATACATTTTGGATACGTAATAAAATACATGGACTCTGGAACACTATTTTTATTGCATGAGAATAATAAAATAGGGGTATTCCTTCCTGATTAAAGCTAATTGATATTTTGGGTCTTCAAAGTGAAGCTCATTTTGTGAGTGTATTATAAACAGTCAATTTTAGTAGTAATAGAAGCTTGCTTGACTAAAACTAAATTCTCATTAATGGTGGTGTCTAGGTTGGAGGTACAAATCATCAGTCACTCTGTCTGGAAAAAGCAGCATCTTGGGATATATAAATATTGCCCTGTATGGTAGCGGAGGGAACACAAAGCAATATGAAATTTTCAGGTAAGTTTTGAGAAATACCACATCTAAAAGTAGAATTTTTTACTTGTTATTTTTACTTTCCTGATTTTCTTCATCTGAGAGGTGTATCTAAAATATTTATTTTATAAATAAGATAAATAACAATATACATGTGTTGTTTTAACATCACAGAATATTTAAAAATAGTTTCCTATCTTCAAGAATTCTTTGGAGGGTACTTTATTTATTTCTCAGATTTAGTTTCAGTATATCATCCAGCCTTTTTGCAAAAAATCGAACCACATTTAGAAAGCATAGTAGCATGACAAAAATGAAATGCAAGTATGTGGGACTTTTATCAATATATGATGTCAGGATTTATTCATTTTTAGAATTTACATCTATAGGTATTTATGTACAGATTTTTCTGACATTTTACTGGTAGGTATATATTTAGATTTTACATTCAGATTTTGCCATCTGGATAATTCAATTTGATATACTATTTCATATAACCAGAATCATTTTATTTTTCCAATACCAATGAGTACTCAGTCAATAATTTTGCCATATTGAAATAAATAAATAAGGTTTAACAAATTAAATAGAAAAGAATAAAACTGCAGCTAGTGTTGCAAAAGAATACACTGAATTTCCTGCTATAATATCCTGACCGAATACATTTACTTCTCTAATGAAGAAAATTGACAAAAACAATAAATAATCCTATATTTCCACTATAAATACAGGTAGTCTTCATTTAGCGATCACAATTGGGACTGGCAACTTGGTTGTTAGGCAAAGTGGTCGCTAAGTGAAACAATGATTGTCCTTGAGATCTTACTTCAACTTTTCTTTGCCTTAGAGACCTATGAATATTGTAAATGCAAGGATTGAGCATAAAACTACCTTTTCATTACTATCATAACTGTGAATGGCTACCAAATGAAGCAGTCACTAATTGAGGACTACCTGTAGTATGATGTACAGGTAGTCCTTGACTTACGACAACAATTGAGTGCCAAAATTTCTGTTGCTAAGTGAAACATTTGTTATGTGAGTCTGTCCCATTTTACGATGTTTCTTGCCACAGCTGTTAATTGAATCACTGCAGTTGTTAAATTAGTCAAACTGATGTTAAGTGAATCTGGCTTCCCCATTGACTTTGCTTGTCACAAGGTTGCAAAAGGGGATCAGTGACTCCAGGACGCTGCAACCGTCGTAAATATGAGTCATTTGCCAAGCGTCTGAAATTTGATCACATGACTATGGGGATACTACGACGGTCGTGTGAAAACTGGTCATAAGTTACTTTTTTCAGTGCCTTTGGTCCCTAAACAAACTGTTATAAGTCAAGAACTTCCTGTAAAATGCTTTCAGACAATACTTTCAATTACTGTCAATTGATGATTTTCCTGTATTAACCTACTGCTTGTTCTTTAAAAAAAATTCCAATATTTATTTCATTCACAAACACGTATAAAATGAAAGTAATTACAACCATTTCAAGAGTAATTTAAAAACTTCTGAAACCTGGAATTACTCACCTGGTTCTAAATTATTAAAACCCTGGGAACAATATATGTTCTTAATATTAAGACCAAGAAGCGACATATGACAAAATTTTTCATTAGTTGGCAATCTAGAAACATCTCTCAAAGAAATCAAGAAAAAATATTGGAATCAAGAGTTAGAATTTGATTCCCCATCTTGTCAGATAAAAATAGAATCTGGATTCTGATTTATCCAGGTATTATATAGAACTATGCGTATCAAATTTGTTCTGGATTTCATTTATTTAATTTTCAAATGATACGTAAATCCCTTATAAGAGTCCCTGCCATAAGATATCCTTTCAACAGGTTGAGATTACAGCTCCCATAATTTCTGGTATTCCAGATGGTTGGAAATCCCAGGAACTGTAATTCAATTGATCTGAAAGGCATTTATTTGAGGATTTATCTCAAAAATTATTTTAAGCACATTGCATTTTCATTTTAGTATCTTTGTGTTTATGACTGCCGTTTTCTCCAAAGGATTTTTAAAATTACACTTTCCAAATTATTATGATGTTAAGTTTCCACTTGTCATTTGCTGTGACTGTTTGAATTATAAGCTGTATTATAATTAGACAAATATGTCACTTGCTACTTGACTAATATTTAGCTCAGCCAATAACATGTTATAGTACCAGAAAGTAGTTTTACTAGCTGGGATATATTAAATGGTTATGACAGGTAATTATTTCCATTTAGATTGCATTTAATCTGACTCTTGCAAGTTATCAAGGGGGGGAAACTTACTGCAATATATTCATATGCAAATATACTACTAAATAAATTTCTGAGTCCTGTATTCTTGCATGTGTAATCTTTTTTCCAATTTTCTTTTTTCAGATGCACTAAATTTTACACAAGTCATTTGAGCCATCTTTTTAGTAAACTTCACAGAAGCTAGGTCAAGCAAGAAAAGGTCTTGGTTAAAGTAAACATCTCTCATACAAAACTTAGAATATTAATATTGATGAATATTGCTTAATTTGTTTTTCAATTTGGAGGGTTATCCTAAAACAAGACACTACAAAAAAAATCAGTTTTATGGATTTGGAAATTGGTGTCTCAAAAATAACTTACATTAAAAAAAATAGGATAATGATAACATTAACTCAATTTTTCCCAAACTGGGAGCAGCAAAGATCCAGGTGCAGACTGGAAAAAATAGATGCATGTATGTATAAGGAGAAAAAAATAATGAAATGACTTTATCTGTTTTATGTTGTTTTGTTTTTAAGGGGGAGGCTCAGACCTGGTGAGATTCATACCAAGCCAATAGATGTGGAACTTAAAGTTGAAACCATTACTAAGGTTAAATTTCTTTGGAACAACATGTTCATAAACCCAACTTTCCCCCGACTGGGAGCCTCGAAGATTATGGTACAAGATGGAGAAACTGGAAATGTGTATGTATACCCTCACTAGTTCAAGAACAAGTAATAAAAGAAACATACTTACTAATTACAAATTAAACTTTCAAAATTATTTAGATTCTACGGATGTGGGTCTTACAATTTAACATGATAGCTTGTATGTTTTTTATACATACCAAATTATTCTAAAGCTATTTTAGTAGGACATCGTTGAAACTCTCAGCTATCATGATGGACACTAATTTACACTGGTTTTAAAAGAAAATTCTACAAATTTGTTGAGAGGGTGATCAGTAACTACTGGGTTTGATTATTGCACAATTCCTATTTAATAAGCATATATTATAAATAGTTGATTCTATGCAAGAACTGGAAAACAAAAGACAGCCATGACTCAGTGGGGACTGTCACAAATACCGTACATCTGTTTGACCGCAGAGTTGAAGAGAATGCTAAAGTAGATTGGCCCTTAGCCTGATTCAGCAGATTTCTTATCATCTCATAATAAGCTGTATGTATCTGGGTAGAGATGAACAGGGTGTTATCCAGCTCAATCCAGTTCTTGTGAAATTCCTTCTCTTTCTCAAGGAAAAGTTGGATGCCCAGAAGGTTCAGGTGGAATGGAGAGTTCATGATTTCTAGGATCATTTCTAGGGCTTAGCTGTTCAACCCCACACTCTCCCACTGTTCATTGCTTGTGTTCTCATTGCCCCCAATTTCACCCATTGGCTACCCGTACTAGCTGCTTTTTCTGCAACTATGGTGTCCACTTGCATGTATACGATTTGGGAATGAGGCTCATCTCACTGAAGAATGAGAGTCTTAACATTCTGGATAAGGAAGAGGAGGAGCCAGGCAGAATTGATTATTGCCATTGGATCCAGCTTTTGCCTAATTTGGATACTTAAATGAATGATCCTTTCTCACTGTGCTTCCCGTAGCTAATTTCCTTTATATTTGATTAGACAAAATTGTGTGTAAAGAAGATCCATTGAAAACAAAGTCAGGAAAAAGTCAGGTTTATATTAGGTCTTGCTAATCAGGACCGTAACATAGTCGATCTTGATTAAAAAAAATATCTGTTGTTGAATTGTGTGAATCTGGTGCCCTGGGTGTGAGAAGACTGTAACAGAGTTTGGACCTGTGACAGAATTTGATGGGGAATCAGCAAAAAAAGTGGGCATAAGAATCTGATTGATTACAATCCATCTTAAGCAAATAGTTTTACTTCTATATCATGGGTACAGAGTTGCAGCCACAAATATCTTCTTTGAATATTAAAAATGGGCGTTTTTTTCTTACTCTTACTTACTTTTCTTTCTTTTATAATTTTGTACTAAGTACAAAATTATAAAAACAAAGGTACAAAACTAATCGTATATCATTTTATCATATACCATATATAAAATACCTCAAAGGTGATTTTGAATTAATTGCACTTATTGAGAGTCGGTGATACAAAATATTAAAGTTCATGCTGTTGCAACAGTGACATCAAAGTATATACATTAATGCTGCTTTTTTAAACTCTCCAGATTCCATTTCTGCGGCAGCGAAACTGTAAGAGAAGATGTGCTGCAAACACTCACACCGTGCTGATCTTGAAATGTGGAAGGCTTTTGTGCAAATCTTAATAAAAAAAACTAACATTTCAAGCACCTTATATATTCTTATGCCAAAGTGATGTTAAAAGGGGACTTTAATTTTAAAGACAGAGGAACTCTTTTCCTTCACTGCCCTTGCTCCATTATGCCAAAAGGATAGGGTTGCTGTCACTGCAGTAAGAAAATGACATTCAAAACCTTATGAGCATTGATGCTTCTGTGCCCATGTAAAGTTAGAGCTTATCCAGATATTTTCTCAGCATATGGAACTGGCCCAAATTATTGTATTGCATTAGACAAAGACAAAAGACTCATCAGATACTGGGTGAAAGTGCAATTGCACCTTTGCTTAATAGTGCTGAAAGAGAGAATGCACCACTGTATCTACAGGGTGAAAGCAAAGTAATAGCTAAGGGGGTTCAAGGTAGGCCACTTCTTAATCTTATTTCTTAAATAAGGTCCTCGGGCTTAGTGCTAGCTCTGTGCACCCAGACTGAAGAAAAATTGCATGATAAAAATATGTGATATGTACTTAGGATGTTATGCTCTTCCTCCATGGACTTAAATATTTCTTGGTTGTATGAAAAAAATATATATAAGCAGCAACACTAATCTCAGACCATTGTCTTATCTGGAAAATCTATTCTTACTGGATAATTGGATATCAGTTGCACATGAATCCATATTGGTGTAGTTCCAATGGATGAAAGCAACGGATGAAAACTAATCAAGGAGAGAAGCAATCTAAGAACTAAGAGGAAACTTCCTGACAGTTAGAACAATTAATCAGTGGAACAACCTGCCTCCAGAAGTAGTGAATGCTCCAACACTGGAAGTTTTTAAGAAGAGATTGGACGACCATTTGTCTGAAATGGTATAGGGTTTCCTGCCTGAGCAGGGGGTTAGACTAGATGACCTCCAAGGTCCCTTCCAACTCTATTATTCTATTCTATTCTATTCTATTCTAGTCTAGTCTAGTCTATTCTATTCTATTCTATTCTATTCTAGTCTAGTCTAAATTCTAATTTTAAAACAATTAAACAAATATTTTGTCACTCACATTTGATTTGGTCCATTCTTTGGCATCCTTTCTTTAATGATTATATTCCACCATTTACTTGGTATTATTGTACAAGTTGGCCATGGTGAGTTGGCTTCAGCAAGTTGTTCCATTCCGCAGCAAACCTGAATATATACCTTCCTAATTTACAAACAGTCTTTGGATGTTGGTAATGGAATCAAGTATAACTTTTTAAAAAGATAATATTGTCTTCTAGGAAGGATATGAAACTAGAAGAGGTAAGCAACCTCTGCTTGCACCATGCTTACAACTGCTTTGTATGACAAGTCACCACATCAATGCATTCATAGTTAACAATGGGTTTCCATCAAACATCCTCTTTTAATAATGAAGTGAAGCAACAATCACTTTGTTGGGTAGTGTTTAAGCAAGCTACATTTTGCAGCTATCCCACCAAATGCAAAGTTAAATGAACACCAAATTGCTGTCCATTTTCCTGGCTTTCAGTGCTAATGGACATATTTTTGTGACCTTTTTCAATGCTTACAGTTTTAAAATAGTAGCAACAAAGAGAACTGCTGTTTGAAATGCAAGTGGCTGTAAACCATATATTATTTGTAAATACAGCATATTCTGAAATCATTCATTTCAGTGTGTCACTAAGGCCTAATTGGCATATATTTTGGTTGACATATATTGTTCTCTTGTAAAGGTGTCAACTTCCTCAGTAACAAAAGGACTGCAGTTTGTGATATACAAATTAGGCTTCTCACCATATAATCAGGCCTATCAATTAGGATGCTATTTGCAACAAAATATGCTCAAAGTGCATGCAAGATTGATGGGTCTTTTCAGATTTTAACACTGTACTATTCATAGCAAAGTTTTTGATCAGCATCATATCAATTAAGAGACATTTGACTTGTGAAACTGATGTAGCCTGTTCAATAGAGTTTGGCAGCAAAATTCAGCTTTTGCTATCAACATTTGAAAACACCCTGACATTTCTGTAATGAAACACAGTGTTGGGGTAGTTTAGAACAAAATCTGTAATGCATCTCCTTGGTGCAGGGCTATATTCTCTAGGATTTAACATCCCAGGAATAGTAAAGGGGAACAAAAAAGAAAAGAAAAGCTGCTATTAACAAAGGTCTTTTACCATCTCTACATTGCTATGTAAAAATCATATCGAACAAGTTATTATTTTTGACAATATGATCTAAAAGTAAAGTTTCTATTACCTTTAAACCAAGTTCTGGCTTGTAAACACTGAACATGTTTTGGTCCCTCATAGCAAGCTGAAAACGGATATAAGCTTTTTCCTACAACTGTTGTTTTAAGCTATCCTATGACAAACAGATCTCCACCCACAATTAGAACAACTATAGGTAGTCCTTGACTTACAACAATTTCTGTTGCTAAGCGAGACAGTTGTTAAATGAATTGTGCTCCATTTTACGACTTTTCTTGCCACAGTTGTTAAGTGAAATACTGCAGTTGTTAAGTTAGTAACCTGGTTGTTAAGTGAATCTGGCTTCCCCATTGACTTTGCTTGTCAGAGGTGATCACATGACCTCAGGACACTGAAACCATCATCAATATGAGTCAGTTGCTAGGCACCTGAATTTTGGTCACGTGACCATAGGGATGCTGTAGTGGTGTGAAAAAGTATCATAAGTCACTTTTTTTAATTCCGTTACAGTATAGTAACTTTGAATGGTCACTAAATGAACTGTTGTAACTCAAGGATTACCTGTAATTGTGCTTTAATATTAGCTTGTTCCCAAGCTCGTAGTTGAAACCATAAATTATGGTTAAGTAAAAGCTTTCTTTGTTCAAAGGATCTGGAAACATAGTCAAACCCCTTATTTCTAAGCCATTAAGTTAACATATGTGCATCCAATGCAGCCTGTACTTTTGTGAGCCTGCTTCTTTTCCCCATCTATACACTTTTTACATTGATTTTCCCTTGCTGATCATTTGAGTTATAATGATATCTTACAATAATGATGCCGATTTACACATTCTTCAATACTATATTATCAATTTCCAGATGGGGGTTCCTGAGTTGGGACCCTTTCTTTTGTGTAGAAAATGGTGGTCAGTGAGTGATGGCTAAAAGTACAGGTAGTCCTCGACATACAACAATTCTATTAGTGACAGTCCAAAGTTACAACAGCACTGAAAAAAGTGACTTATGACCATTATTCAGTTTTGACCTTTCCAGCATCCCCAAGATCATGTGATCAAAATTCAGATGCTTGGTAACTGGTTCATATTTATGACTGTTGCTGTGTCCCAAGGTCACGTGATCCCCTTTTGCGATGTTCTGACAAGCAAAGTCAATGGGGGAGCCAGTTTCACTTAATAACCAGGCTACTAACTTATCAACTGCAGTGATTCCCTTAACAAGTGAGGCAAGAAAGGTCATAAAATGGGGCAAATTTGTTAAATGACTTAAGAAATGTCTCACTTAACAACAGAAATTTGGGGCTCATTTGTGGTTTTAAGTCAGTGGTTCTCAACCTTTTTAATGCCGCGACCCCCAACCGGTTGTAAGTCGAGGACTAAACCGGTCGTAAGTCAAGGACTTGACTGGTCGTACGTCGAGGACTAAACCGGTCGTAAGTCGAGGACTACCCAACCGGTCGTAAGTCGAGGACTTTCCCTGTCTGGGAGCGCTGCGCATGCGTGGTTCCACCCCCTGCGCCGGCCGAGGCGTAGCTGGCAAGCTGCAGAGACGGAGCAGGCCGACCACCAGCTGGCCCAGCCCAAGGGAGGTAAGGCACCCGCCGGAAAAGGGAAAAAAAATGGCGGACAGCCTTGCTTGGCGACCCCCATGAAATGGTCGATCGACCCCAAATGGGGTCGCGACCCATAGGTTGAGAACCGCTGTTGTAAGTCAAGGCCTACCTGTAGTCCCCTCAGGTTGGCAGCAATTTCTTCGGGAGTTTCTTTTTTTTTTTAATTTGCAGAATGCAACTCCAAACTTCTCACTTGAAGAACTGCATGTAATCTAATATTTCAACACATCTGAACCACTCAGCGGGACTTCTTCCTGCAGACACCTTTTTCTGAAGAAGACAGACTGAAGTAGTCCCAGTGTGTGTATTACCTGTGTAAAGCTTCAAAGGAAAGAATTTGAAGGGTGCATTTGTAATGCAAAACACTGTTAATAATTACAGTTTGCAGTATAGCAGATGCCATCTAATCTACCTCCCTTTTCTGACGGCAGACCATACAAATTATAGGCTGAGAAGGAAAATTTAAGTGTAAAGGTTAACAGTTTTACAGAAAGATTCAGAAACTGAAATGCTCGACAAGGTACCATGCAATCAAATGCAAAGGGGAAAAAACCCTCCTAAGTGTAATTAAGTGAGGCACTTATTTATTATTATGCTAACATCTCTTCACAAAACTTTAACACAGTTTTTTTTCCCTCACCCCTGATGCTCTCCAAGCAAGCCAAATACAATTCCCTCTCCTTTCCAATCAAAAGAGCCACTTCTGCTTGGGGATGACTGGAATTCGGACTGACTTCAGTCACCTTGAGGACACAAGATTGAAAAAAAAAATGCTTTATCATAATACATCGCCCCAAAAGGGTTGCCCTCCAGAAGTGTGGACTTTACTAGAAAGGGGAGGCTACTGCAAAGAATTCTGGGAATTTGGGCCCACATACCGAGGGCACATGAACTGGAGAGGTTGATTAATTGGTGATTGGCAAGGACTGACTGATGTTTATCCAACAAGCAGATTTACTATATTATCCCTTTTAAGTGAAGTTGGGGAAAACACAGGTTTTTTGTATGTGTGTGCACAAAATAAGCTTTCAGTCTGGTCCATATATCTATCAGGCATGCATTAGCATGTGCTTTGCATGTATTTTCCATGGTATGTCTAAGTATGGTTGGTGAACATTTGCAGTGTTAAAAATCAAAGAAGTGTCTAAGTCTAAAATCTGCTGATCCTTA